AGAAAAGGATATCCAAACTATGGTACATACACACAATGGAATACTATGCAACGCTAAAGAATAATGTAGAATCTGCAAAACACCGCATAACGTGGCTGAACTTGGAGGACATTATGCTGAGTGAAATAAGTCAATCACAAAAGGACAAATACTGTATTAGCCCATTATTTGTAAAATCAAGGAAACATTTATCTATGGAAGGACATTTTCTTTGTTGGTTACCAGGGGTGGGAGGGGAGAGGGGGGACACTTTTAGATAGATAAGAGAAGTTTTGATTTGGGTGAAGAGAAGGGCAATGTACCAAATGTGAGTGATCAATATCGTGGCACTGAGGAAGAGAAAGACATAGAGAGGTACGTGGGAAATACAGACAACAAAGATAAACCCTTTTGCCCATATAGTTTGGCGTTGTCAGTGAAGGCAAACATGGGTATATGGGTGGATAGATGAGTGCACAGGCTGAACTATTAGGTATGTTTATGAAGTGGGGAGTGTACCCAAGACCATGTATAGAGTTGGCAGACAATGATCCTATAACTTTTATGTGTATGATCTGAATTCCCAGGTGTATAGTGGAGCTGACAAGAGGCAAGGTTGTGGTCACTGCTTGGTCACAGCCAGCTACCCAAAAGGACCAAGTAGTTGAACCTGTGGGCTCGGGACCATAGTCACAGAGGACATCAAGCTCAATTGGCATAACATACTACACAAAAGATTGTTCCACCTCCTACTGCGGCAAGTAGTGAATGGGATCTTAAAAGCGTGCAAGTTGCCATCTAGACGCAACAATGGGTCTCTCCTTGTCAAGAGCAAAGAAGAATGAAGAAATCCAAAAATTCATGAAAACAGTTAGTCCTAGGAACGGGTACACCATCTGATCTGCAGCCTATATGACTATGAGACCAGAAGAACTAGATGGTGCCCGGTTGCTAGTGTCAACCACTTGGAAGAGGATCTATGTAGGAGATCCTGGAAAGAGAGGGAGAACAATATGGAACAAAACTCAAAATCATTTGGAAAAAAAAAAAAGAGGGGGGACCAGTTTTGCTGGTCCAATAGAGCCTGGTGAAACCACTGAGACTATGGCCCCTAGCTGCCCATCAGGTCTGGAATTG